GTAGAAATACAAGGTCCTAGTGCCATGATTCACTGCAGCATCTGGTATTACTGTCTTGCTGAGATGGGGAGAGACCTCCACGCTGCATGCGCAATGGATAGATTTCACTGTACGTCTCTATGGTTGACACAGACGAGTTCTGCCAGATGGAGAAGGCCAGAACCAAAACTAGCAAGAAAACGGTTCACTCCTTGTAGTGAGGTAAAGCTCCCTGTAACCTCCTGGGACACTAGAAAGCCATGAGGCCCATTTGCCTAGCAAGTTTCTATAACTTGTGTTCTGTTGGACTGGCTGATTGCACGGGATGCCTGGAGAGGAAAAGGCAAATGCTGCACTGTACACTGACACTGTACTGGGTGGGGCTACCGTGATGAGCTCTTCTTGTTCTCCAACATGCACATTGACCCCAGCAAATTAATTCCTTGAGGCTGTCCTGGAAAATGGCTCTCACAGTGGGTAGTAAAAAGTTCCCATTCATCTTTGCTCAGGCTTTGGGCATCCAGTCACTTCCTTTTGGGCAACTTAAGATATGAATAAGATTCGAGTTGGGCAGGGAATGTGCGAGAACCTCACATTTCCCATTGTGGGAGCAGCAGAGTAACACACACAAGAAAACGGAAGGAGTTGGTTCTTGCTCCATTACTGTGCTGTAGAGAGTCTGTGCACTGTGGGACCCCATGGCTCACTCTGTACTTTTCCGCAGTTAGCAGTGTCAATCCTATGTGAACACCACCTCTGCTGCTGATACAGTGCCTCTGAAATTCTCCCAGACAGCGTCTTTTACTATCCCTGTTGGTACGTACCAGTCATTAGCGCTAATTGGGTCCCTTTGCTGTTTCAAAGGTTGACGCACAGTTTGCAGCAGGATAATAGCAGGCCAAGGTTTCTGGGCACTGAGACCGAATAAGGTGTTTTTTGTCTGAGTCGCCTATTGCTCCCTAAAGACTTAGCAGACACCTACCCCCCAAGGCAAGACAAACTTGCCTGTTGCGCACCCTCCAATCACACACACTATCACACTCAGAACAGGGTGTCAAACCGATCGGGAGGTTCTGTATAGCATTTCCTTATCGGGCTCTTCAAATCATGAAACTTGGTGATTAGTCCTTAAAATAAAGTTTGAAATCTGTTTCTTCAGTTCATGATCTCAGCACTGGGTCCTCTGATAGATGGTAACTGTGCATTACAACTTTCTTTTGTAAAAAGTCTTTCATAGAATGTGTATTACAAACACCTTTACAGCTAAACAATAGCAGGAGAGAGATTTTCAGACACAGAAGAGGAAGGCTAGGAGTGTTTTCTAATGAGATGTAGCGAAAAGATGAAATGTGCCTGTTCCTGTGGGCAGGAACTGCAGAGGAGAAGGTGCTCACACACCACTGGCATTGGGACTGTGGGAGCAACAGAGAGAAAACTGAAACAGACACAGCTCATGAGGCACAAACAAGGAGGGACTCTGCTCCATGTTGTGAGATACTTGAGGAGAGTGCTGGTACCTCTTTTCCTATTTGTCAAATGAAATATCTGACACCCCCCCTCCCTGCCAACTGCTCCAGCTGTGCATCCTGCCTATTACTGACCCAGTCAATGACTTGTTTCTTGTGCTTGCTGGAGTAATCCCAGGGCCACAGTTTTGGAGCCATTATCAGGTCTTGAAAACAGCAGCCCTCACTATTCAATGCGAAGACCAAAGCACTCACTCTGGCTCCAACACGGCCTGGCACTTAAATGCAAGGTGTGTTTACATTGTCCAGTTGCAATTCCTGCTGTAGTGGAGTGTTTGTTCAGGGAGTTGCCCCCTTCACCTGCTGGCCGCTGAAATCCAGCCCAGGGCCCTTGTGACAGAAAGCTGTTAGCAGATGGCCTCGATCCAGTTCCTAGTGGACAGATGTCCATCACAAAACCCCTTACAAAAATGAGGACTAAGTGGTGCCTTGTTGGCAGTCTCGGCAGAGAGGCTAAAAGACTGAATGGGCCTGGCCACCCACCCAGCCTGGGGGACGGAAAGGGGGCGTGACCCCTTCAGGTCAGGGTCAAGGTGTTTGGCAGGGTGCTTGCATTGCCACTCTCCGTACTGTCCCCGGACAAATAGACAAATTTGGGCAATAAAAAAAAAGAGCCATGTCCACTCTACAGCCGTAAGGAGACAGCCCCTTGACCCAGGACTCCAAGGAAATGGGCATGGTTTAAAAACTGTGGCTCATTAAATTCTCTCTCCCTTTAAGCCCCACTTGCCTCTCCATTTCCCCCACGCTCAGCAGCTGTTCTCCTGGACTATCCCTCCCACCATCGCATCTTCCTCACTTCTGGTTTGTCTCCTGTGCCTGAAGCATCATTTCATTCCTCCCCTCTCAGCCCTTCCCATCACACCCTCTGGCTGCTTCCGTCCTTGATGTTGCTGGCAACTGGACTGGCCAAGGCCTTCCATCCCAGTGGCACCAGTCCACATCCTAGAACTCACTCCAGCATGTGACATGGGCCATTGGTATTCACTGGAAATATGGAATCATCCCTAACTTAGTCAGTCCTATAAAATTCCATAGTATCGGCCAGTCTAATGGAGACCCCAATCATCTGGTTTCAATTAAAGTGTCCTCCACAGCCAGCACGCTTATTCTTTGGCTCTATCACCTCTGATCTGCTACTCCCGTATATTCCATTCCTCTCCTCCCCCCGACCCATATGAGAGAGCCCCTGAGGCATGTGCACAGACTCGACAGGGGAGAAGAAATCACATGTATAGTTTAAACTCAGCCCCTGAACCGAATGAAAGGAGCTACAGAAGAGAGGGTTTCTCTAGGCAGAAACCATAGGTGTGGAGCCCGATTGAAATGGAACACTTAACGTTTAATGAGTGATTATAAACCTTCTGTGCAGGGGCGGCTCTAGCGTTTTTGCCACCCCAAGCACGGCAGGCAGGCTGCCTTCAGCGGCATGTCTGCAGGAGGTCCGCTGGTCCTGCGGCTTCGGCGTACCCGCCACCGAATTGCCACCAAATCCGCGGGACCGGCAGACCTCCCGCAGGCATGCCGCCGAAAGCTGCCAGGCTGCCGCCCTCGCAGGGACCGGCATGGCGCCCCCTGTGGCTTGCCGCCCCAGGCACGCGCTTGGAGTGCTGGTGCCTGGAGCCGCCGCTGCTTCTGTGCCAAAGAACTGCACCCCTTCCTCCCCTTGCTCTATACTGACACCTGCACCATGACAGCCCCACAAAAATACATCCTCCAGGGTGTAGAGATTTGGGGGCTGTGCATCCTTGAGAGAGGATCCTCGCCCTTGGAGAGAGAAGTGTTGTTCCCATGATACTCACAGTTTCCAAAGTGTGTGGGGGGGGCAGAACTTTAGTCTCAGTGAAGAAATCTTAAGCTCCTGCCTAAAGCATTGTCCTTTTGCATACTGCAGCGTTGGGGAAAGGGATCCAAAGCATTTCATTCTAGAGCATTCATGAGTGACAGCGCTGCATCACAAACCATGGTCTGGGAAATGTTCTCTGTCACCAGAGCTGCAAAGTACAGTGGATGTCGAGAAATACCAGCCTAGAACCATAGCTGTGGCGGGTAGTACGTGCTGAAGAATAGAGTGCTAAGTGCAATAGATGATGGCACAGCCTGATGCCAAGCAGCCAAGCCCTTCCAAGCATCACTTCTGAGGCACTTGGGAAGTGACAACAAGCTGTGTTAACCTCAACGGGTCCTTCCAGCTACCGTGCTGCAATTGGACTGCACAGCGCTTGGCGACGTATTCATAAGGAGAGGAGAAGTGCTAGACTGTCTGCTACCACTGACACCGGGACACCCTGCAGAGCAGGCAAGTTTCACATCCTCACGCAGGCAGCGGTAAGACTACTGGCCAGGCGCTGCTCTCTTTAAAAACAGCAGTTTCTCAACATAAACCAAACTTGCCCCAGTGTATCTAAGTGGAGAAAGCACCAGGGCACCAACACTCTGCCTCTGGCCATGAGTGGCTAAAACCCACGCCAGGCAGATATGCTGGCACAAAAGCCCTTTCTTTCCTGCAATACAGGGTGGTTTTCCAGTCCCTCCTCTTAAAGCAACACTAACTTGATCTGAGTTGCCCCAAGATACATCCACTTCCTATCCCCTCTCAAACTGCCTCTGCACAGAGCCCTGTGGAGACAATGAGGGATTCAGCCACTTGAGAACTGGGCAGAGTCAGTAGTTTGACTCTCATTCTAATACCATGGAGATGAACTTTGACCTGAACTCAGACTTCCACCCCTTATTTACTTTTTTAAAGCTAACATGTTTCACGGAGCTAGCACAACACCCCTCCTTACCAGCCTGCCTCCTCCCACACATTCCATGCTGCTCAACTTTGACCTTTCTTAATTACCTGCACTACCCAGGCAGATACCCCCACTTCTCCCCTGTGCAGCCCATTCTCACTGCTGAGTATCCAGCCGCTTCTTGGATCAAAACCACTCCGAAACGTGTAACTCAGCTGAGTGCTTCTGGCTAAGAAGCCCATATTCCAGGGCCTCACCATGCTCCCTTGTCCGTCCCTCTGCACCTCCTACATCTTAGAGTGAGCACTCTGTGGCAGATTAAATCAGTGCTCAGATCTTGTATGTGATGTAACTTCTGATTCTAGCCCTGCCAATGAGTTCAGCTGTAGGAACAAGTGTGTCCAGCGCATGTCACGGTGACTCCGTTGCCTCTTGTCGCAGGAAGAGTCTCTTATCTCATTATCTGGATTCATGAAAAACTTAGAACAACATTGCGATGCCCCAAACCACAGAGCCCTTATCACAACCAGCACCTGCAACAGAGTATCACCAGACAGGTACCCTCAGCAGCACAGAGAGAGATGGAAAGTACACTCGTTCCAGGTGGTACCAACAGGAGGGGTCTGACTCCAGTGCAGTCCCTGTGCACGTGCTGCTATGAAATCCAGCCCCCAGGTGGGACACCTGATCGAAATGGAGCAGTTAAAGATGTGCAAGTCCTCCCTTCCCCTGCCCCACGGGCATCAGGAGCACTCACCATCCTCCTGGCTGTGGAGATTCTGAGGGCTGCGCATGCTCTCGTCCTGACTGGGGCTCAAACTGGAGTTAAGATGCTGGTCAGCCGAGATCCATGTGGAGTCATTCATATCAAAATCCTCGCTGCTCACCGATGTCTCATCCTAAAAGCGAACAGGAAAGGGTTAAATCTGCGTTGGTTTTGAAGCTCCTGACCACATCCCTTTGGGGGTGCAGCAGCTCCTGCATCCCCAAAGAAACGTGTTCACCTCCTGGCATTCAGGGACTCTGAAAATAGCCCTTCCCAGCATGCTCTGGGCTAGGTAGCATTTCCCCTGCGGAGAGCACCGGTGCTCTGCTTCCTGTTTGAAGACGTGCCTGAGGAATGGCACAGTCTGTAATTGAGGACAATTAGAAAGAGCTCGCATCCTGTAGGAGCGGATGGCTGAGCCCTGGAGTTTACCCTTTCATCTCCAGCGACACTGCAGTGTGTCCATGGCAGATAAACGGCTGTGCCGGTGGCGCAGACAGGGTGTGACTTTGTTAAAATGGTTTTGAAAAGTACTAGACCGAACGTTGTGTTTTAAAAACAAAAAACGCACACCCAAACAATATCCCCACCATTTCTCTAACGGAGCAGGAAGGGTCAGGCCAGATCAGCCACTGGAGAAAATCTGCAGACCAGCTCTGACTTCCATGGAGATATGCCTATAGTGTGGACAGGGTCTAAGAACCTGCAGCCTACCGGCTTAACCCCTGGCTTTCAGCATGAAACTAGGATCTTCACAGGCCCTTGGATCTGCCTGCAGATTCCTCGGACTCTTCAGCAGGGCCGGGGCCAGAGATCCCAAAGAAGCCACAGTAACACCATGAAAGTGATGCAAACGGGACCTGGGGGGGGAATAGCGAGCCCAGGCACAATCCAGAAACAGCTGTAGAACCCCCATTTTCTGGGGTCCTCTACAGGAAGGGATGTCTAACAGCAGAGAAAAACCCATGGAGTTGGGTAAGCCAAGATGTGAGCTGGAGGCTCTTCCACTCTCCAGTACAAGCATGTATGAACCACATGCATCACCACGATAGAGTGAAATGCACCCTTGCAATTTGCGCCAGGAGTGAGGCCTGCATTTTTTTTTTTACAAATAATGCTCTACTCACTAGTCCTGCTGCTCTGAAAACTGCCAGCTCTGAGGAGGGAACGAGCCATTTCTGAAGTCATGGACATCCTCACTCAGCAATGCCACACTGCCTTTCCTATGGCATAGATTAAATTCCTCTCTCCCACTCCCACAGCTGAAAGGACATTCTTTCTCTTCCTCCTTTCTAACCTTTACTGTGCTTCAAGAGACAGCCCTTGGATAGCTTCCAGAGCCAAAAAGGTCAGCCACTGGATTTCAAAATCATCATCCTTATAAAAGCAGCCGTGAGATTCTGAATGAAAGGAGCAGCTAAGAAACCTCAGAGCGGGGCCTTCCAAGCCGAGGCCACAGCCACACAGTTATGAAGGAAGCACCGATAATATGGGGATGTGTAACGCATTTGCTGTAATGGTTCCTCTATCTGCCTCTTCTCTTGTTCCCTCCCAAAATAAGACAGACCCCATCCAACACTGTGGGCTGGAGCCACTGAACACGTGCCCAGAGCCACTTTCTGCTTTAGCTACTACTGCCTTGTATTTAAAACAACCTTTCACGGCTTGTAGCCTCTCCATGTCCCTCCAGCGTCTGAGCACTGGACAAAATACCAATCCCCACTCCTCTTCCTTGCACCAACTGAATGCCCCTCCACCAGCACCTGCACCTTGTAAAGCTGCTCTGCCTCCGGCAGACTTTTTTTTTTTTTTTTTTTTTTTTTTAATTGTGAACAAACTTCTCTAAGAACAGGTTTGAACTTTCTTCCTTCCTTGTCCCTGAAGAGCCATCTGCTCACTCAGGGCAGGAATTGCTGCCTGCTCCCTCCCCCAACCCCCTCCTCACTGAGTTGTGCCTCAGAGGGAGTTTCCTGGAATTTACAGCTTCTGTACAGCCTCAACTTGAACACTTGTAAAATCCTACACAGGCAGAGCTACACCGTATAACCACATGTGCACTCTCGCACTATAAGGACACAGGCACACTCATGCTCACATGCCAGTGCTACAGCACACAACTTTCAACCAAGCATGGGCATACACTAATAGAACCCAGGCAGAAGCATGCTCATGCTTACAGACCTATGGCAGCTTGGTTTCAACAGGACACACACAGAGTAAACAGAGCACTTTTTCTCGGCATTTTGGCTAAGAGCCATACAACTTTTCTCTCTCTGTCTTCATTTCCAATTCATGGTTATAACATCATTTTTGACAAATTCGGCTGGGGACTAATAATGCCTATTCAACACTGTATGTGTTCTATGACTTTAAATATTCTCTAAAAATTTTAATCTGATACCCTTAGTTTCATGATAGGTAATGTATGTCGACACTGCAAAAAAACAAACCAGAACAACAACCCCCCTCTGGCAGTGAGTGTCAGAGCTGGGTCTACAGATCCAGATAGGCAGGGCTCACACTACAGCGTTAAAAATAGCAGTGTAGATGTTCCTGGTTGGGCTCTGAGACCCACTCCCCTCCCTGGGTTTCAGAGCCTGGCTCCAGTCAGAGCAGGAATGTCTACTGTGCTACCTTTAACACTGAGTACCTGTAGACTCAGGCTCTGAGAACTGCTGCCGTGGTGGTGGTGGGTTTTTTGGGGTTTTTTTTGTCAGTATAGACATACCAAAAATATCCTCCTCTTACACACAGACTGAACTGGAAGGGGATCTTCCACTGCTAACGTTTTATATATATAAATTGCAAGCATTTATAGGGTGCCCATCACCATGGTATTTGGGCATCCTTACAAAGCTTAACCTGGAACAATTACCTCAATTAGACAGACTAAATGCCCAGATCTCCTGCTGCTCACAGCTTCCCATCCGGCCAGTCCACTCCACAGCAAGAGAAGGCCTGGGCCCGGAGTGCATCTTGCAGTGCTGAATGAAAATGGCCAGGCCCATGCTTAAGAAAATGTCTTTAAGGGGCAAATTCTAGAGGAGACTGCCCTGTCTCAGCCCCCACACGCTCACCCACAGGATACTGGGTTCTAGTACAGATGTACAGATGTATGTTTATGCACACATGTACATATAGCATCTTTCCTATCCGTGTATTGTGAAATACTGGATTTCATATAAAATCCCCTCAGTACAATACATTGGCCTGTTATCCAAAGCATTAATTTACCCAAGAGATATCGAGCAAGAAACTGACCCAGCTGTAAATGACTGAAGTCCAATAAGACTCAGGGCATGATTAGCAGTCTCTAATATGACCTATCAGCAAAACGAGCATGCTATTGAGGTGGAACTTTGCAGAGGCAGGCATCCTCCTCCATTAATTCTATGCTTATCTCCGCACCTTTTTCAGCCTGGACCTGCTGCATAAGACTCCAACTGGGAGAACAAGAGCGTTTACATGTAAAGACTCCCGCAGGATTAACTTCCTGGCAGCAGTGCCCCGTTTCCGCAGCATGCAGATCTAGCAGTGTGTCCTGCAGCACGGCGGTCCCCCATCAATACCACACCGAAAGCCAGCAATGGGAACTGCCTCTTGGTAGCGTCCAATCAATACATCACCCAAAGCGAACTCGTAACAGTGCCCCATCACAACCCCACACAATGACCCGTGAGACGTTCCTTACAGCAGCACACAAACAATGCTGCCCTCGGTGCTCTTCCAGTCTTTCTCTAAACTGCAACACAGCCCAGAGTCATGGATGTGAGATGTAGCATCTTCCTTTGCTGCCTTGCTAACACAAGTCCTGGCTTTAGCAATTGAAGATGCCCCTTAGCAGTATCCTGTCACTACTAGCTACTACTCCAACTGCCACCCGTGCAAACTTCCTCATCAGAGTATCCTGTCAAAGCAAATAAGGCCCAGAGCTCTGTGACTTCCTTGCAATGCCCTATCAATGCCAGCAATGACTCCTGGCAGTGCCCTCCTTATGGCAGCGAAGATTCCAGTGATTTGAGACCCATCCAACAATACCCTACAGCTTTTTTCCCCAGCTATGACTCCAGTAATAACTTCCATTTCAGATTGTGTGAGAGGGATAATTTTTCTGGCTGCAGCACAAAAAGGCTTGTGCACCCAAATACACAGTATGGTGTCAAAACTAATGAAACGAGCAAGTTCAAAATATCTGATGGAAAAATCCCCTCTTAATTTTGCTCTGAATACCAATCCTGTGACTGGACAGTGGAGATGCTTATTGAATCCTCATCAGCTTAAGTGACATTTTTGAACAGCAGCACCAGCTACAATTCAGAGCAATACGGTAAATATACTCTGCCCTTCCACTCCCTTTCAGCCTGCGAGTCAGGCCGCTCATTCTTTTCCTCTCCGGATTCTCAGGAGAATTCTCTCTGCTAATTTCTTCTTTCCTGTAAACAAACTTCAAATGAAACTTTCATTATAAAAAGAACACAGTCCATTACCACAGCCTGGCTCCAGATTTGCCTTCTCTTCACCCGTACCATGCCAGTCATGACACAGATGAAAGCGACAGCAGCTGCCCTAATCAGCTAGCACAATCTCCTTTTTCTTTCTCTCTCTCTCTCCCTCCTTCCTAACCTAACCTTCCTTCCTCCCTCCCACTCCCTTATCCCTCCCCTTTCCAGCTCTCAGGAGAGATCTTCTCACACTGCAGTAAAGTTCTATTGCTTCATTTCTAGTGTTCATGGGATTGCATGATTAGGGGTCATGAAATATTCGTGCAGCTTCTTTTCTGAAAGGCAAAGCAAGTGCCTGTCGGGTATATTCACAGGGCCACACCCAAATATGTGAACAAGGACTCCAGGCACAGCGAGGGACTTGGAAAAACATCACTACTACTCTCCTTATCTCCAGTCCAATATTCACATCTGCTCTACAGACGGATTTGGTCTACACATGTATTCTAGTTAGCAAAAGAAAATGCATGTGCAATATTAATACTTTGCACATCTATAGTCGCTTTCATTCAAGAATCTTCAAGCACTTTATAAGCATTCGTCAATTTTAAGCCCCACCATTTCTCTTTGAATTAGAGCAATAGTATTCCTACTTCAGAACTGAAGAAACTGAGTCACCAACAGCTGCAGTGACTTGCTGAAGATCTCAGAGTGAGTTGGTGGCAGATCCAGGAACAGAATCTAGATCACAGAACTCCATCTTGTGCTTTAATCACCAGACAATGATTCCCTTTTTCATGAATAACCTTTTCTCTGAAGAACTTCTTAGAGAACAACCTTTCACACCACAGGCTGAAACTGAGCGGGGTAGGAAAGCTTTTCTTATAACCTGCCTTGTAAATATATGCAGGCGATATCAGTAACCTGCTTATTTTACAGGTAGGCTCAGTTTCTCTGGAACTGGTTTGCAAATGCCTCCAAAGCCAGTTACACCCTCTATATCACACTTTATTTTACAGGATCTGAGAACCATTAATGCGGTGTTGCTTATTTTCTTTTTGAGGTTATCTGGTTTTATTTAGAAGTATATCCCTACTTTTTTGCCATGACACACTACCCTGGCCTGTTCTTTCTGTGGACTCCAGAAACCAAAATCTAGGGTGGTGATTGTTTACTTTAAGGGAAATATCAATTGCTCAACCTCGATCAAACAGGTGACAAGCACAGTCACCATATGCCAGTGTTAGTTTGACAGTAGAGTCAGCTACCTTTTTAGAATCAACTAAATGTGGCATGATTGCCTGCTTTTGTAGCTGCTTTACCTGTACACATCAGCAGCAGCAACTTGGGAGAATGCTACCAGAATATTGTCTTGAAGGACGGCACCTCCTGTGGCCACCTTGAAGGTAGTATCAGTCTTGGGGAATCCTCTACCAAAAGGGTAGCCTTATCTCCATGTCAGCAAGCATTAAACACAGCCTTCTGAGCATGCCAAGAAGGTATTGAACCACATCTGACCCTAACTTAACCACTTCAGTCCACAGAAAGGCTTAATAATGGAAGATAAAACTCCTCAGGTCAAAGGCACTGGATATTGTAGCAGCCAAATAATGCACCACAGAGCCCAAGAAAGCTAAAGTATTGTTGATTCAATTCAGTTTCAGAGTTAGGAATCTATGAGATCTGGTGCCTATTTCTGTACATTACAAACCAACACTATATTACGAATGCCCTTCCTAACAGGTTGACTAGAGTTCTTATTTACAGTAAATCCTGTTATTCTCTATCACACAAGATCATTCTCTTCTAGGGGGCAAAGGGAAGGAAGCTGCTTAGCCCTTGCTAGGACATGAAAAAATAAGAATTCATTCTTACTAGTTCCCCAAATCAGGTGAGACAAGACCTAGCTGAATATTTTACATGAAAAGGGAATATTCATGAGCTCTGTTGTCTTATGTTTTCCCTCCTTCCTAAGATCTTTCTTTTCTTCGGGGAAAAAGACCCACAAGAGAGTGTTACTAAAGAGCACATGCACATTCCAGATGTCATTACCCAAGGCAAGGAGGAGCAGGCATTCTTGCAACAGATTCTGAATTTCTGCCCTCTGGGTTGGGTGAAATCTTCAGGTGCTCTTGCTGTTCATTTGGGAGGTGCTGAACAAGGAGTATAGGACAGAAGTTGTCAACCTGTCCTATACTCCTTCCTTCCTTGCAGAGTTCACATTTCACACTGCAGTGTCAACCTCGGGATCCGCAGACTATGTCTAAGATTTCCAAAGAGGTCTGCATCTCCATTTGAAAATTTGTAGGGGTCCGCAAATGAAAAAAGGTCGAAAAGCCACTAGTATAGGATACTGAGGGGGAAAGTGTGAATTTTCCAAGTAACTACAGCTACTGCCAGGTACTATTAACATTATATATTTCTGAATACTCTGTTGAAGGTGCAAGTCTTCAATCCACCTTCATGGAAACAGACCTTGGTCAAAATCAAACTAGCATTTGATTTTATATGAAAGGACATGATTAAGTCTCCTAGCCCATCAATCCCTCAGAATGAAAGGGTACTTTAGTCTTCCATGGACACAGTAAAAAAATATCAAAAATGTGATGGTCTGAGTATAGGGGTAGTAAAGAGATGTTGCCAGGTCCAACCTAGACCCACAATGAAAGGATTGTGAAAACACATTTTTGCACAACATATAATCAATAGGAACATTTTGGTCAATATATTTTCATGGCAGTGGCAAACAGGGCAAAAACAGATTCCAACAATCCTTCCCCTATCCCCAGTTTCCCACCAAAACAAGGGAATATTGGCCTAATACCTGAGAGTGTAGAAGTGAAACTGGCTAGGAACTATGAACAAGTGAAATTTACTATCCTTTTTCCATTGTATAATATGAGCCAAATACAGGAAACAAGCAAACTGCCTAAAGAGTGAAAAGGTTGTTTGTTTGTTTGTAACATTATTTCCCATGTAGTGTCTGCACACACAGGTAGGTCTCAGATCTATGCAGTGTGAAATGTGAACTCTGCAAGGCAGGAAGTTTCATTCTTTCCATTTATACTGATCCAAATCTATGTAAATAAATAGATCAGTAAGGCAAATCCGTCTGAGCATGTGTGTAAATAGCTCCAGCCCTGGCAGGCAGGGGTTCAGCACGAAGCAGGGATTGACCCATAAGTAGGGCTTTACCTCGAGGGAGAAAGCTATTTTCAGCACAATCCCTCACCAGAAATGGGAGGAAAATCAGGCGCAGAGACAGCGACATGTTAGAGCCCAGAGCCCCTGCTAGGTGCAGCAGCGGGATATTAGTCTTGTGCCCTCTGCACCAGGGAAAGGGAAAATCGATGTTTCAGAGAGGGAGAAAGGTTCCCTGTGAATTAATGGGTCTGTAGCTTCCCCCATTGATCTGCCTCCTCCCACTTTCTTTCTGTGCTTTTGTGCTCTTCCGGGGAAGAGGGAGGCTGCTCTCCCGATAAGGGAAGGACGCTCTAACCTTAACCTTTCTCCAGGAATAATGCGAATTGGAGACGCGAATGAGAACTTCCCGGGAAACCGGAGCCGGGAGGGAGGAGCAGCCCCCGCCAGCCGGGGTCGGTTTGAAACCGGGGCAGATGGAATCAGAACGCAGAGGGGGAGTTTAAAAAACGGCAAAATCTCTTCCCCCCCCTCCCCCGGCACAAACGGGACCACGCTATCTGCCCGCCCCTAGGCCGAGCGGTGCCCCCCCCCCGGAACCCCGCAACCGGCACAGGACACTCGCCATGCGCCCCGCAATCACAACCGTACCCCGCAATCCCCCCCGCGCCAGTCCATGACCCCCGCAGTGCATTACTGTGCAGGGTGCACCCCCTCCCCTTCCCTGCAACCCCCTCACCACACGGCACCCGCCATGAAACCCTTCATCCCCAACACCCAACCCTTCCTGCCAAGCCCATGCAACCACCTCACCCCCGGCCCCGTCCAACCCCCAACGACCTGTGACCGTGCACCCAAACCCCAGGGACCTGAGCACAGGCACCCACCATACCCCATCCACCCCCCGGTGCACACATCCCCAGCAACCTTCCTCCATCATCCAATCCCGGGTCCTGGGCAAACAACCCCCGCAACAGCTTGTGCACACCCCCAACGAACTCGCTGCAACTCACGCCAATGAGCTGTGCACCCCCCAACCCAAACACCATCCACCCCACTGACCTGTGTGCACCTCCAACCCCACAGTGTAGTGCGCAACCTTCAAATACCACCCCCCAAACCCCCTAGTGATCTGTGTGCACCCCCAAACCCCTCCAACCCCCACTGACCCCCGTGCGCCCCCACCCAACACACCCACTCCCACTCCCAGTGACCCGTGTGCACCCCCAACAAAACACGTCCAACTCCCAGTGACCCCTGTGTGCCCCTAGCAAACCCCTCAACTCCCAGTGA